TATGCCGGCACGATAGGCATTTCATTTTTTTTATTTCATCATTCACGCATAGCCTACGTCATAGATCCGCCATAGCTATACTTCTCCTATTCATGCACGACTGTCGGCGGTACCATGACAATCACATTATGATCACAACTCACCATTTATTTTAAAATGTATCCATTTACTTGAAATTCCTTTTGTTCCATTACCAAAGCCGAAAACTGATACACTATAATTTGCATCGGGTGAGAGACGCCTCAGAACCACAGAATAGGTTACACTTAAAGTGTCGATTTGAAAAGAATGTGTTGCGTTTCTCACATTTACTCTGTAACCAAAGATTTTATCGTATTTTTCCTCACGTTGTTGCACGAGAAACCACTGGATGCCAACTGAAGTTTTGGACAAGATAACAACCTGAATATTTTTTGGCGCGGGAATCACATCTAAAATAAAAGTTTGCACACATATTGTTATACAATACAATTTTACCGAATTGTGTCTTGAGACACATTGCACATGCGCCTTGAATCTTCCAGTCGAGTGTCGTAATAAAATCCACACTTTCACCTTATTCATAATTATCTGTATGCTGTACGAATCATATTTGCTTCATATTTCTTTATTTTTGAATGACTTGTACAAAATTTTTTTTATATTTGGTCATATTTAGCAAATAGTTACAAACTTGAAAATAATCGGTAAAAAAAATGACAATGGAGTTGCACAAGTGTTGAATATAAAAACTTTGGTTCTGGTACTTAAAATGATTATCATACCGACCGTCAAAAATGCCACCGGCCATCTATAGTTTGCAAATGCGATGATGAAAATTATAACGTAATGATACTAACGCCGATTCAACGAAAAATGCCATATAGAAAAAGCCTAAAAAACTAAAGGTCCCAGGTGCAATCTTGTAAATAAATTATTCATGTCGGAAATTATTATAATTCTAGATTTATTGAATTTTTTAATATTCAAGTTAGGCTTGGCATTGAAATCCAGCGGCATCTAGTTGGTCTTCTTCAGTTAGCGAATGGATTAACTTCCCCATAAAAACAATACGCAACATACCTAATGATGAAAAGTTGTACAATACAGCATAACCATCACTATACTGTGTGAACCCACGTATTGAAAGGGTATAATTTGATTTTGGAGCTAAGTCAGGAAACACGACGTGGTTGGTATCATTTGCTGATATGAAACTTAATTTTCTTTTTCGGCTGGTTAGAATCAGCTTGTATCCCAGTAAAACGCCGTTTATTTTTGGTTTTGAAGAAATCTTTTCCCATCTAATCACTGCTTCTTTGGAGGTGATCTTTGCAAGGTGAATATTATTTGGCCTTCGAAGTCGATCTAAAATAAAGAATTCTAATGGTTCAGTAGGTCTAGAAAAGTAGGAAATTGATAAAAAATAGCAGTTTTCAGTGGGTGGATGATATAAATCACGGGTACAGGAAGCGAGCCAAATGCCTGTCGCGCCGTGAAAATACTAGCTAACTAATCATTATCAGTCTAGAATTTGCAAACCCGGGCAAATCTTCAATTGCTGACTTCTAGCCAAGGAGACAAATAGTTTGAGTGGAAAAAACTCCCCGAAAGCAAAATTATCATAAATATTAAGTAAAGGCCTATTCAAAGGTAAATATGTGATTTGCATTTGAATTGTCAGTGAAGAATTTACCTCTAGAGTTGGATAATAACTCACTATTTCTATTTCACACTTTCTAGCAACCACTTACGACATACCTAGTGATACAAAGTTGTAGAGTAGCGTATATCCATCACCATATTTTGTAAAACCACGTACCGAGAGGGTATAATTTGATTTTGGATTTAAGTTAGTCAACACAACGTAATTAGTATCATTTGCTAAAGTGATGTTTTCTTCACTTTTCATTCCAAATAGCGTCAATTTGTATCCCAACAAAACACCATAGATTGTTGCGTTCGCAGAAATCTTTTCCCATCTAAGCACTGCTTCTTTCGGAGTGATCTTCTCAAGATAAATGTTATTTGGCTTGGGAAGTCTATCTAAATGACAAAAATATACACCAATATATATATATATATATATATATATATATATATATATATATATATATATATATATATATATATATATATACATATACATATATATATATATATACATATATATACATATATATATACATGCATACATATATATATATATATATATATATATATATATATATATATATATATATATATATATATATATATATATATATATGTACATATATATATATATATAATATACATAGAATATATAATATATACATATATATTTTATATATAGTTTCAACGAAAACCCCAATGACTGGTTTCACTAAAGAAAAAAAGCGTAGCGAAAACTACTGTGATTTAAGTTGCTTAACGGGACGGACTAATTTGAATTGATTTGGAAGGTACTCTTTCTTATACAAGGCCGTATATAACTGTAATATAACCCTATAACAATATAATCGTATAAGAATAATTCAATGGTATAACCGCAAAAATTTCAATCCAGATTTGTTGCGCAAATATATTTTTTTGTGTAAAAGAAAGTAAATTTAGTTATTAACAAATTTTCTAGTTTTATGACCTAAATGTCCATTATTTCAAACATCACACAAATTGCTGCTTACATGTGACTGAACAAAATTAACAAACAAGCTAGACTAATGAAACTTACTTTCAATGCGAAAGCTCAATCGAGCTGCGTTACATGGCGCTTTACTTGCAGTAAGAAGACACATGAATTTATCGTCTTTGGTAACCCCAGTGACTGTAACACTGCAGGAGAGAGTTTTATAACGAAGTACTTCTTCAACTTCACATTTGTGTATGTCATTATTGTTCTTACGAAATTCCACCCTTGTCATATATCCTTGGTTTGGGGAGTTAATCTTGACCGAGCCGGTACATTCCAATGTTATATTGGTGTCTTTTGTCGCATATGGGTAAGGTGTCGCTCTGTAAGATATGTTTGGTATCAGAGTTTCTTTAAAAAAAAAAAGAATAACCTATAATATAACCAATAATAAGGTTCGGTTGTAGAGACCATTTAAAAGAAAAAGAGAAGAATATTGCTCTTTATTAATTGGTGTTGTTAGTGGAGATCTTGTTAGTGAAGAGATACCTCTTTCCCATTAGAGGTATTGTTAGCAATGGCTGCAATATTTTTGCGGATTTTTGTTAAATTCTTTTCTTTTTTAACCAAACTGCTTTAAGATTCGATCAATTGAATAACATCACTGGGAGATAAAAAAACGATAAAAGTCAGAACTGGGAGGAAAACTAGGTTGTGTATAGGGTAATAATGCCAAAATAAATAATTCGGTATTTTATGTCATAAAGCTTGTAATTTTGACTACAAATTAAAAATATAATTATATATATATATATATGTGTGTGTGTGTATGTGTGTGTGTGTACAACATTTGACGATTGATATCGCGCACATTTTTGTATGCAAATATCTCGTGAAAATATCAAATATATTCACGGGTTACTTTCGAATTTATTACGCTTAACGTAATATTACTAACAGTAATTTTTCATATCCCAGTCAACCTCAATCGATATTAATATTAACGATACTACATTGTGGGTTAACGGACTATAAAAGCTTTGCAGTATTAGATACTTACGTGGTGTACCTACAAGCTAAATTACTTATCGACTGTCACCATGCATACATACAAGAATATTATCGATACTAATATTGTTCACAGTTCAAGTAACCTGCTGCACACTACAAAGCCTTCCAAAATGTAACTTACTAAAATGTTCGGATTTTATGTGGAGCAAACATAGGCTGCTGAGGTCTTCGTAAAGCGTCATAGCGGGTTGTGGCTGAATTGTTGCAACCAGGAGGATAATGCAGCCTAAAAGAAAAGAGTTTAAACAAAAATTTAACTTCGCAATCCACGCGATCGATCTGCGATTGCTTTGCGCGGAAATATCCCGAATTCGGACACAACATGGAAGATTTGAAGAAAGCGATGACAATTCACAATAATCATGCAATCGCGCAACATTAGCCTTTAAATAAACGGTCTAAATGTAGTTACAAATGTATATTCTTTTTCAATATTGTCATTCATATAATAATTATATGCATAATTATTTCTTCAATTATTTTTAATAAGCAAATTAGCTTGTAGGTACACCACGTAAGTATTAAATACTGCGAACTAAAAATACTTTAAAATACTTTAAAACTTTTACATACAACTTACGTGGTGTGCCTAGCTACCAGCTAATTTACTTATTGATGTCACCATGCAAACATACAAGAATATTATTTTTAAAACGGATGATCAGGAATTCTATGCACTGGAATTTAGAGCACTTACACAAGTTCCAAACAATGTTTCCCATTTCAATTTCCGTTTGATTAAGTTTGGATCACGCTAATCAGTTGTTATAAACCTGTTGGGTCTACAAAATGCACAAAAAAGTGCTTTGGAGGTTTCCGCAGGAGTAGCAAGAGAGGGTTCTATTTAGCTCCATTAGAAATTAAAATGAAAATGTGGCAAGCACGACCAGGATTAAACATGCATGATGACACGACAAATAACTTCTGGTGGTAAAACACAAAAATCCCTAAACCAAAAGTACGGTAGACTAAACAGTATTAGCCGAAATTATACTAGGGACATGCAAGAAACTCAATTTCGACGGGAAAGTTGATTGTATTTAATTAAATACCCGTTTGAATCTGAATACAGAAATGGATAAATTTATAACGTATGGTATATAGGTCGGTTAATGCTAAAAAAGGTATCGTAATTATTTGCCAACGATAATGATCTGTAGGCTATCTTCAAGCAAAACTGGCTATTGTTGGGGTAAATTCTTGCATTATTGTCATCATTAGTTGTACAAAGTGTTGTGTACACGATTCTGTAGTGTTTCGATGCCTCGATTAATATGTGTCCATAGTTTGCTCTGTCAATGATCTTGAGGTTGTTAAGATTAGTAATGTATGGGCCTGCAATATATGTTCTTTGATGTGAAATTTTTCACTCATTCTTTTTTCTTATGAGGAATTCTAGCTCACCCAATTTCTGCAGTGAGTAGCTTAAATTTGGCTAGTTTTAATATAAAATGGATTTTTAAGTTGTCTTTCGATAAAGGGAGAGGTTACGTAGCGGTTTAGTTACGAGTTACGACGCGAATCGCACGAGGGTTCGTGAAAACGCGTTTGCCAGAACATTTGATATCAATATTGTAGACTGTAGAGCTACATACAATTAATATGACGAACAAAACACGGAAATTGTATAAAATTCTTAAATAAAAAAGTAACACTTGACTTTCTGCTGAGGGTAATAATTATGCATCATGCAGGTATTTTGAGTATTTCACCAATGCAGGCATTTATAAAGAGCTTTAGATTGCCGTTTACGACAAGCCCTGTTTCATATATGAACGTCGTCGTATAAATTACAAATTTAACGATTATTTGCAGTCATTTACATACAGAGTTGTTTCCCTCCTCAAGCTCAGTTCACATGAAATTTGATGAAAATTAATTAAACCTTCTCTGAGAAACGACATCTTCAAAAAACATGTAAGCTAAATGTTGCTTTTCAAAGCAATTTTATTTCATATTTTAATTAACGATTTGAATATGAAATAATTTGTCTTGAAAATGTTAAACAGACGCTTAATTTGAAATGTCGTATATTATATAAAACAATATTATCATAAGATAATTTAAGCTGATAATCGGATTAATTAATCTGAAGCCTGCTAATGTTCAAAGTCAACAAGTATAAATGGGTTGAATATTCCACTGAAACGCCAGCACAGAATACAACTAGCAATATTTGTAACTGGCATAAGACAAATATAGTCAACCTGCATTTGTTTCCAGTTATTTCGAATTCTTCACAATTTTATACAACTAATCGTCCTTATACCCATGCAGGAACTACTTAATTATGTTATTTAAATTTTTAAGGGAAGCGGTTATCGAACTTCCACGAAAATTTTTGGATATTTGTATAGGTATATACTATGCCTATGGTATGATAAAACATATATGGAGTATGACAAAGCAGCATTTCCGTAAGTCCGTATCTTATTTAAAGAAAATGAGTGCTTACGTCAAAATTCTTCACTTTGAATCATCAATTGAAAACGCTCCAACAATGCAGGTTCTCTTGTATTGAATCAGTGTTAACACCGCACGCCCCTGAGATAATCATATTTCATTGTACAGGTTGTCTCAAACGAAAACTATTGAAGTCATGCACTCATTGTGAAAATTTGAATGCCGTGTTCACGAATTTCATGAGCCCGTGGAGATTTAATGCAACTTATAAAATGCGAATACGAAAAAGTTGAAGTTGTGAAAATGATTAAATTTAAATTATAGCCTTGTTGTTGCTTCGAAAGAAAATGGTACAGCTGACCGCGGAACAACGAGTGCTTATCTTGTGATATCATATCAACAGAGTGCTTAGGCATTCAAACTCTAACAATTACATTGTTATGGGTGATTTCAATATTTTTCATTTTTTTGAGACACCCTGTAGCCTATATTAATCACGTTAAAATCCCTACGAAATTATAATCCGTGAATGTTCACAATGCGAATATATTTCTTCACGGCGGAATATTATTTAACTTCCATGTTTATACTTACTTTGTACAAATACTTTTGTAGAATGGATAAATAATCTGTTGTTGATAATGAACTTCGTACTCTCTGTTGTTCAAAACCAGTCAGAATAAAGAGAGGTTTTTGTCTTCCGCTTTACTTCAACTTTTACACCGGATGTTGTAAAATAATATTGTCATAACAAGCACCCACGCAGCATACTGATATAAGCAGCATTCTCTCATCTAACGAAATTTCTTTAGAAAAGTTTGACTCTATCGAGGGAAGGTTGGAATAGTTAATATATTCTTTTCAAAAGTTCTTTGTCTCAGGTTATTGAAAACAAACTCCCTAACAGCTGAAGGTATGCATATTTAAATTGTGACAGCACAGGATGTAAGTGTATATTAAGTGCTATTCAGTAAAAAAAATTTACTTGTCAAGATCATCTGCAAGGTAGAACTTCCTGCCTGGCAAATATCAAAAACAGCAGGTAGTGCGAGGCAGCTGGTGTGCGTTTGGCTTTAATACAACCGTCCTCGTGCGACAATAAATTCAGTCAGAGTCTTCAAACAGGGGCGTTGGAAGCTTTCAAAGATTGGGGGGACACCAGCTTCCTGGGGCACTTTTGGTAAATAAAAGTGCGGCTAAAAACATACATATATATATAATATATGACAAAGCTGCAAGGACACCACTATAGTGTAGTTTACATTTATGCTCTATCAAAATGATTTGGGCACGTGTAAGTATGCTAACGTAGGAAACAAAAAAGGCACCTTCGATTTTAAAATAGTATTTACAGCTACATAGCTTCTCCAAAAAGGCATATTTTGTCTACACTCATACAACAAGAAACATAAATCAGGAGAGTTTATTTGAGATTCTGCCAGTTGCTTGCGGTAAAATAATGTAGTGTCACGTTGAGAATGCAATATTTGTGATGATTTCTGCCAATATCTATATATTCCAATGGATATAGTTCAGGTATTGGATTTAGTTGTAATTCATGTTCTCATGTTTTTCCACTATGGCGCTATTTTATATTATATCGATTTACAACAAATGCTTGTTTTGGCACAACTATATATATTTCGGTAAATTAAAAAACCACTGACAACATTTTTGGTGGCGAAGCTGATTTCTTTTTGTGAAATTTAGGCTTTTTTGGAGCATGGGAAAACAATGAGATATAACGACTTGTAAAATTATTTTACCATAAATTTTATTAGTGACGTAAAAATTGACTATTCGTAAAACATCCGACACAGTGGCTACTCAAAAGTTGTCGCCTAAAACAAAACTCCGACAATCAAAACAACGATGATTGTTAAAGTAAAGTTCCTTCCGTCTGTGTTAGTTCCTCCTTTATTACTAACTCCAGATGGCCCCTCACGATCTAAGAAAAGAAATTGTTATCAGTAATATTACGTTAAATAATATACCACAAACACATGCCACGACGATGAATATGGCCAGATTTATTGAGACTTTATTCTTCAAAGGGTCTGTTGATTAAAAAAAAATGCTTTTCATGTTGTTATAATTTTTTATACCGAGTTGAAGAAAATGTCGTCGTGCGAAAGGCTAATTGTACGTTGTTGAGATGTTAAGCAACGTGATATAGCAGCAGCGGTGTCTCCGCAACAAATAACCTGATTCGATTCTAAAGGCTCGTTTGCGCTTGCAATTTTTGCAGCGATTTTATGTGCGAATTTCTTCTTTTAATATATGAGAACGAGTGAATTAGTTACTGATGTTGAAATAAGAGCTCTTATACATTACTACTCATTTACATCTATCAAAAGAGGTCGCCCGTTTACACTTGCGAATTTTGCTGCTATTTTACGTGCGATTTTCTTCTTTCAATAGATGTGAACGAGTTATACGTTGCGAATGCTCTGATGTAGTTTTAAGAGCTCTTATTTGAACATTAGTAACTAATTCACTCGTTCACCTCTGCATGAAACGTCAGTGAAAAAAAATGATGTAAAATCTTAACGAGACTTATGGGATAAGTGTAATTTGCAGTACATATATTCATGCAAATATACCGTAGGAACAACAGCGTACAAAAAAAAAGAAATCGGTCAGGTATAAGACGAATATATGAATTCCAACAATTCGCCAACCGTCCGCGATGTATTGTGGCCGATGACGAAGAAAATTAATTGGAAAGAACAAAACACTTCATTCATCAGTGATCACCGACAATAGCCATCGCCGACCGTCGGTGACAAACGAGAACCAGGCCTTACAAAAGTGTTATGATCACAACTCACCATTTATTTTAAAATGTATCCATTTGCTTGAAATTCCTTTTGTTCCATTACCAAAGCCGAAAACTGATACACTGTAATTTGCTTCGGGTAAAAGATGATTGAGAGCAACCGAATACGTGACACTTAAAGTGTCAACCTTGAAAGAATGTATTGCATTTCTCACAATAACTCTATAGCCAATAATTTCATCGTGTTTTTCTTTGTGTTGCTGAATGAGAGTCCATTGAACCCCAGCTGAATTTTTGGACAAGATAACAATCTGCACGTTCTTCGGTGCAGGAATTACATCTAAAACAATTCAAGCAATATTGTATAAAATCTTCGTGCATTGGGCTAAATCTACTCACGCGATTAGTCAAAATCAATCACGTGGTTTCTTGTTGCCTGGCGACAGATCATGGGAATAATCATTTATTCGCAATAACCCATGAAAATCATGGTTTATTAAAAAATGACAGACTGCAACGAAGCTTGGATCTTCAATGCAGCAATCAATAAACCCAGATTGTACCGTATATTAAAAGTGTTAGAGACTTTATGTTCGTATTTTGTTTACAGATAAACGCACTTTCTGAACATACATCTCGTGAATTCACTCGTTAGCGGAACCATACACCTCGTGCAATATTGAAATTTCTCGTTTATTGTATGGTCAGCGCGTGCGTTTATTTGTGAACAAACCACTCACAATAGTCTGTAACCCTTAATTGCACAAATATAGCATGATTCGGGGGTGTCAATCTATGCCAAAAATTGGTAGGTCCGAATTGAGGGCAAAACCTGAATTCCTTGCAGGTGTAAGCTATCAGAATGATTTAAAAAAAAAACGATCTCTTGTTATTAAGACACTCAGGGGTGAAGAACCCGCCGGTAGCGAGCGAATGAAGCTACTTTAACAGTATTTGGAGGGAAAAGAAATATCATTTGTATTCAATTAAGTTCATCTAAAGTGCCTATATCACTTGTGGGATCTTTACGGATTTGAGTAGAGCTTGAAAAATTAGTTTATAAGTTTTACAACCGTTTTTGACAGAATTAAATAGTTTCGGAAATACTTACATCTAAACATGACGATTTGCCTAAATTTCCGTCGTGCTCGGGCGCCTGGGACTCAGGAACCGAGTTCTTGTCAAACATAATATAATCAATTGTAATTTTACTTTGATCTTCCAATAACATAAAATATTTTAAGAAAAACTCGCCCAGTTGCTACAGCCATACACAACGCAGCGTTCCCGCATTTTTTTTTGAAAAGCGCAAACTATATCGCCAGTGAAACTCTTCATGTTTACATTATAAAAGACGGCGTGTTTGCAAATCATTCCTGAGTCCCAGTCCCCCCAACCGACGTATTTTCGAAACTATTTAATTATATCAAAACGGGTTGTAGAACTTATAAACTATTTTTTCAAGCTCTATTCAAATCCGTAAAGATCCCACAAGTGATATAGGCACTTTAACAGAAAATATTTTAAATTTCTACAGTTATGTAACGACTTGGTGTAGCTATGTTACTACACACAACATACCTAATGATGAAAAGTTGAAAAGCTCAATATATCCATCATCATACTGTGTGAATCCTCGTACTGAGAGGGTATAATTAGATCTCGGGGTTAGGTCATGTAACACTACGTGATTAGTGTGGTTTGCCAGAGTGAAATCTATTTCCCTTGTCTTGCCAATAAGCGTCAATTTATACCCCAGCAAAACGCCATGAATTTTTTGGTTTGCTGAAATCTTTTCCCATTTAACCACTGCTCTTTTGGAAGTAATCTTTGCAAGGTAGACATGACTTGGCCTGGGAAGTTTATCTAAGAAGGAAAATAATGTATCGCGGCTCCTTCAAAAGGGCTCTCTCAATGTATTGGTGTCGAAATGATGTTAATTCACCCCACCAAAAAAACATTAAGATGCGATTAGATCAACATTGAGTGCGATTACACGTTATACGCATTTTATGATACTATTTATGCAAATGAAAACAGCTAGGAATATTATTATACCAAAAAATACTTATCCAATCACAAAATTTGTTTCATATACCACATGACCACCGTGTCCTGAATAGCTCGCACCCGGGGTATTTTCCCTGAGGCATGGTATTCACTCAATAGAGCGGGGTTCTTATAAGGTCGGTATATTATTCTAGTTATAGATCTTGAACTCCGGGTATCCGCCCATGCAATGAAACGTCTCTCAAGTTAATTTCGTGGGCGGATACCCCCTCTTTTAAGGTCTTAAAACTAATAATAGATTGCTTCAATTCGATCATCCCGACTGAATCAGAATTAAGAAAGGGCCGACTTCATTTCAACACTGTTTACATGAGTAAGGTTGGTGTGGTGATGCAAAACAGGGAAGCTTTGTTAAAATTATCTTGGAAAGCAGCCCTCTGCATGCAACGCACGCATATTGTTAACAGAACGAATTTTACCCAAATGGCCACTTATACATAACTTACAGGAGTTATTGAAAATCCCGCACACGAAATAAAATACTCGGGGTAAATTCACATGCCCTTCCAAAATAAAGAATGAAATAATTTCCGAGTTTTCTATCGTTCAGGTGATGGAACATATTATATTTAATATTATAAAAAAGATCACCCCCAAAACTAAGGAAATCATACTTGCTCTGCTTTAAATTTTCTTGCGACAGTATGCCGATGTTTTATTCCAAAACTTCTTTTATTCGATTTTTATTCCAAAACGTCTTAGAAGCATGCACTATTGAATCACAGTGGTGGCAAATTGTGCGAACTAACTAGTAACTATGCTACTATCGTGATATTTGGTGATATTTGATCCATGAGGTATTGGGCTTTACTTGCATAGATATGTAGGGGAGTTAGTTCATAGTACCTGGTAGAAAAAGCTTTGCAGCTCCTAGGATTACATCATTTCTCTTCGTAAATGCTTCAACCTCTATGACATATTCTCTACCTCTCGTGAGATCTGTGAATATAACG